ACTACAGGGCTCTTAACAGCATAACCGAAAAAGACTCATACCCACTGCCCAGAATTGATGATACTCTTGATATTTCACCAAGTGGCCTGAGGCGTATGCAATACCAAATCAGGAAGCTACAACTGTAGCTTCGGCTATTAGTGATTTCTTCAGGTTTGGTATGCTATACGAACTGCATTCAGATCAAGGCCGTAACTTCGAATCAGCTGTGTTCCATGAATGCTGCAAGTTGTTTGGCATACGAAATACCAGAACACCACCACTGCACCCACAGTCTTATGGGATGGTAGAAAAGTACATCTGGACACTGGGACAAGAGTTGGCAAAGTTTTGTAATAGCTGCCAAGATGGCTGGGATGTCTTTCTCCCTCCACTGTTGATGGTGTATAGAACAGCAGAGCATGAAGCCACTGGATACACTCCAGCAAAGTTGATGTTTGGTCGGGAACTGCGGTTGCCAGTGGACCTGATAACAGGGTGCCCACCTTACGAAGAGTTGCCTGAAAATGTGTCAGAGTTCGTGAAAGTGTTATCTGAAAGGATGGGTGATATTCATCATCAGGTGCGTTCAAACTTGAAAATGTCTGCTGATTTCATGTAGCTATGTTATGATAAGAGATCTACTGAAGTCAGCTTTGTACCAGGAGACAAGGTGTGATTGTATAATCCCAGGAAGACCAAAGGGAAGTCTTCTAAGTTGTCTTCTCCATGGGAAGGCCCATATAACATAGGGGATCGTCTCTCAGATGTGACTTTCCGAATAAAATGTGGTCGGCGAAGTAAGCCGAAGGTTTTGCATGCCAACAGGCTTTGGCGTTATCACAGTCCAGGACATTTCAGTTGGAACGAAGTTAACAATGGAACAAATGACGCTGCTGAAGACGTGTCACCTGAAAAAGCCACTGTCAAAGAAGAAACTCTACTCGGTTTTGAGAAGGGAAACGGTGAAGCCCTTGATGAAGTTACTACAACTGTTACCGATAATAGGACACTTCCTGATGGAGCAGATGAACCCCACATGAAGCAGAAGCCAACGAGACAGAGACCAGTACAGAAGAAGATACGTCCCGTAAAATTAAGAGACTTTGTTGAATTTTAATTTTGTGTTTGTAAATTCTGTACATTTAATTAAGTTATTGTTAATTATATATTGGTTTAATTTAAGTGGCTATTGTTCGGGACGAACAATACTATGGAAGGGGAATGTTACGACAGCAGAAGTCACGTGACGCTAGTAACACGTCATGAGATTCTAGAAGGATCATGTCTGTTCCTGGCAACTCTTGTCTTCTCTACGCGCCTTCTATTTTTTGTATATATTAGCCGGCAAATGAAGTGACGGCATAGATAATTGCAGACAGGCAGAGAATGAGACGGACAATTGAGTCAAGCGCGATAATGATCAGAAGTAAAGTGCGTGAATCGCTGTGAATTGCAGTGTGTGTTTAAGTTAAAGTGTCTGTGGAAGTTAAGTGTATTTCAATGTTGTATTGAGAAAGAATAAACTAGTTTTATTTAAGAAATGACTTGTATCGCTGAAGTTCTTCGGAAAGAATTTTTACGGGAAATTAACAAACGACCAGAGACGTAACAATATGCTCTGCATTTTTAAACATTTAAGTAAAACAGTATGCAGTGTACATTTAGTTATACACGTCAGTGTGTTTTGATATTGAAACAACATTCTTTGTAAACTGAATATAATTTATTCTCATTATTATATTTGCACTAATCACAACAACAGAAATTCATAAGAAAGATATTTGCTTTGTTGTTATACTGTGTTTACCTATGTTGATTACATAAATGTCTAGAAATAAAAATATAGACCTCTTGTGACTAAACCTCTTAAGGAGTTTGCCATTTTACTTTAAGTTGCCTTACAGTATCACATTTCTGGTTCTACTCAGAGCTTAAACTAATGATACACAGATATATCTCATGTTGCTAAACTGAGTCATTAAGTGATGACACATTCTGATTCTGTTCAAAGCTCGATATAATGATATTCACATATATCTCATACTGTTAAGCTAAATCATTAAATGGTGACACATTTCTAATTTTAATCAAAGCTTGTTCTAATGATACACAAACATATGTTTTGAAATTATTATCTACTTGAAAATTAACACATTTTATGTATTTATCACTTTACCTCATTAAAATGTTTTTTTTAGGAAAATTTTAATTTCCTCACATCCAAAGATGAAAGTGTAAGCCATATTCTTTTGTTATGAACTTTGTGCAAAGTTACACGAGGGCTACCTGCACTAGATATCCCTAATTTAGCAGTGAAAGTCTAGAGGGAAGACAGCTAGTCATCACCACCCACCGCCAACTCTTGGGCTACTCTTTTACCAATGAATAGTAGGATTGACCATCACATTATAATGCTCCCATAAATGAAAGGGCGAGCAAATTTGGTGGGACGAGGATTCGAACCCCCAACACTCAGATTGCGAGTGAAGCACCCTAACCACCAGACCATGCCGGGCCTAAACAAGTCAGTACAGATAGATAAAATCAAACACGTAAAAAAAAATTAAACCTGAAAATGTATTTGTTTGCAATTTTTAATTTCTTCAATTTTCAGATAAATGGAATGTGTCGTAAGGTGAATAAAGAATTGAATTTAAGTACAATTTATAATAAAATAAATAGATACAATTAATTGCATGTTGTGGTTACTCGTATTGGGCTGACAGACTGTTATTAATATTTCTAAGCACTGTGTTAAATCCTACTCAGTACCCACAAAACAACAACAGAAAAAATTATCAACATTAAAAACAAAAATATATTTGAAATGACCACACATTGTTCTAGCTCATTCCACAAATTACTAATTAAGTCCATGACTTTCACACAAATGTAAGGCTGAGAAATCTGGATAGTAATGCTTAAGATATAACCTGTAAAAAACAGTATTGGTGATAATCATCTTTAGAAACTATAAGAAGGTATCACACTATCTCAGGAGCGATATACTTATAACTGGACAGAGAAATAAGAATATTATTTTAACAATAATGATTTTTAAAAATGTGGAATATCATAAGCTGACATTCTTGTGACATTCTTGAGGTACTTTCTTAAATATTCACATTTCTTTAGTGAAACTTTAGTTAAATGATAGTATATAGATGAAAATATACAAATTAGAAGACTGATAAACTTTTGAAATTTGGTCCACTCGAATTTCAGCATGCTATATTTGATTAAAACAACAACATTGAATGAAATATAAAAAAAACACTTAGTATTATTCTTGTGCAATTTCTTTTAGAAATGGTACTATATCAAAAAGACACCACATTTTCATAGTCTCTACATTTTCTCTGTACATTAGCAATATAGGAATCGTCTATGTACATAAAGCACAAAAGAACCAAAACTAACTTAATATAGAATTGTTGTTAGCATGTTTTACAAACATGGTCCAGTACGTAAACAAGAATTTCTGGAGGCAATATAATAGTGACTGTATTTTTAAATGTGTAATTTTGGAGTAGAACTATCTTGCATTGCCAGAAAATGTATGACTACATTTAGGATGTTTGTTCTGATATAATGTCTAGTGTTACAGAGCACTTGATCCAATAGTTCTTTAAAATTGATCACACTATAATTATCATTCTCTCCTTAAAAACGATTAACTATTGTCTTAAGAGTAGTGCAACATTAGCTGAATCAAAAAAGATTCTTGTGGTAAATCCTGACTGTGTATCGTTCCAGGTAGTCTGTATAGTGGGGGATGATATCCTTAAAGAACAAAAATGGTCACTCAGATATTTATTAAAGTGTAACCTGAATGAACAAATCTCACTTATGTTGGCAACAACTAGGAGAAACCTGAACAAAGATATTCAGTCGAGTATTTACAAAAAACATCTGATCCTTATATTAGTATTAATCATAAACAGGCCTCATCATCTTCAATATATAACTAAATGTGAAGATAAAGCTGTTTTCTGAGTGGTCTTTAGGATGCACCAAACATATCATTATAAACTTGATGAAGAAGCAATGATTATGAATGCTACATACAATGTTTAATCTTTCTAGGCCCTGGATTCATTGTGGATGGTTTTCTGCATATAAAACATATTTCCGGCTTCCTTGTCACATAATAACAAGATGATGGTACCAAAAAGGAATATAGCTGCTCCCCATCCGACACCGTATGCCCATCCAAACTCCCACACCTGGCGATTACTTTCTTCAATTTCTGCTGCAAAAGATGCTGGATAGACTACCAAGGCAATAAGAATGCAAGACACTGGAAATGCAAAACAAACAAAAACAACAGCTAATAATTCTAGATAAGGTGTAGTGTTAAAACAAAAAGCAAAATCTTAACGTTTGACGTGACACAGTGATTGTTAGATATTAAAATTAATGATTATTAGATGTTAATATTAATATTAATGATTGTTAGATGTTAATATTAATGATTGTTGGATATTAATATAAAATAAACTGCTTAATACATATAGCTAAGGAACTAAGCAACAGCAAAAAAATGTGTGATAAAGAAATGACATTAAATACAAAATTTGTGTCACACATAGAAATACAACTCGCATTAATACTTAAAATACAATTTAAAAAGAAACATCTGTTGAACCATGCTGTATTACTAACTTACATGCACAAATCATAACATACAGTGCCACACGATACAACTTGTACTTGCGAGTAGGTTCTTTGATACAAAGTCCAATTCCCGTTAGCACAGTGGCACCAATGTCACACAGAAGGGTGACCACACACAAGGCAGCAGATCCTTGGATGTACACTGATAATGGAGAGAGGGCATTAGTTGCGAGCAAATTAATTATCAGTTGCTTTAACTATAATACTTGTAATGTAAGCTATTCTTATGGTTTTTATGACTATCAGACCATCAATTCATACATTTATCCTGAAATGTATATTTAATCTGTTATTGTTGTGCATTATTTCAACTATGTATGTGAGTATAGATAGGTTACTTTGTGTGACTTTCTGTGTGAGTATTAGTTTATTTTATATTTCTCATTTCAGTGATTGAAAAGGTTTCTCATTTATAAACACTAACAGAATCAGTATATAATATTGTTGCGTCAGCGAGTCACATGACTGGTGTGGCGCCACCTATTTTCTAGAACTATCCTGTACCTTGGCGAATGCTCTAGCATTTACTAGATATAGGGTAGTCTGGTATATAAAAGAGGGCGACAATGTGACGGGACAAGAGTGTGTGTATAGGTAATGAGTAATTGAACTGCAGTCAGAGAGAGAGAC